AGAGATCCGGACCCTTCCCACTCTCTCGGCCTTCCCTAAGGCCACTAAGACCTGGCTGTTCCGGCAGGCCTGAGGCTGTTGACCCCAAAATGTAGTCCAGCCCCACTTGGAATGGAGTGCATGGTGTGTTTTTTAAATCTATCTTTTCTTTCCTTCTATTCCCTTTTGATTTATTTGTATTGTTAGCCGCCCGGAGTCCTACGGGATTGGGCGGCATACAAATGTTTTGAAACTTTGAATATTTCAACCATATTTGGAAGCTATGTAATTTGCCCATTTCAGTGGTGGGTTCCGGGCCCAGCGTCCACCACATGGACGCGTGCAGAGCGCGCATGCATCCTTACCTCTTGTTATGCCTCCATGACGCTTCAGCTCCTCGGCGGAGCGTTGTGCAGGCACTGTGTGGAGCTTTGCGCAGGTGTCATGCACTGAGTGCGTGGAAGCGCCAAAGAGCTCAAATATAGGTAAGGAGCTCGGGTGGGCGGCTGGGCCCTCTGGAGCACCATACCAGAACGGTACCCGATGCTCCGGGCAGGCACTGGTACGCCCATACCGGTATGGGCGTACCACCTGCAACTCACCACTGGCCCATTTTCATGTGATTCAGGTAAGCGAAAACTACAAGTACAGCAAAAATAATGAGAGAGATTCCAATTACCTGTAGTATTGCCACTTCTTTTATTTTACAGGTAGTACTTGCTTAATGGCCATTAATTCAGTGATTGTTCAAAGTTAAGGCAGCAGCGAATGAAAGGATTTGGGATTGATCCCCAAGTTATGGCTATTCCAGCTATACAGACAGGCTGCTAAGTACCTAGATTTTGATCATGCCCCATGGTCACATGATCAAAATCCAGCCGCTTGGCAGCCTGCCTGTATTTATAACTTCAGGGGCACTTCATCTGCCCCCACTCACTAATCTGCTTCCCATTTTTTTCTCCCCTGCACTCCATGGCCCCTGCCATCCTACGTGACTTTTGCTGTCTTCTTGCTCTTGTGCTGATCAAGTATGCCCAGCCTGGCCCCATATGACACAACTGATGGCCACATGGACCTCTCTTCCCCTGATCAAACATAGTAATATTCTCACGAGATCTGGATAAGATACCTTTACATAGCCAGAAGCTGCCTTGTGAATAGCCAGGTTGGGTATGCTTTATCAGCAACAGAAGCAAGACCGTAGTTAGCTGGGGTGGTAGAGTGCAGGGCAGCAGAGACCTTGGAGTGCAGGCTGATGATTGTATTTAGGACTGAGCTTGGGCAGCTGTGGCTTCTTAATTCCTTAGTGTGGCTTTGCGCCATACATTGCTGGGCCAGGCTGGGGCGTCCTGGGGCAGCCATAGCTTCATACCATGCCTTACTACTGGACTGGGTTGTAGCTTTGCAGAGATGCTGTAGCTTCACACCACACTGCTGAATCTGGCTGGGGCTTCCCAAGGTAGCGGTAACTGGTGGGCTGCTGGGCCAGGCTGCAATGGCTGGAGGGTGGCTGTGACTTCATGCTGAGCTGTGGCTCAGGGGTTCTTGCAACTTTTATATTCCATGAGTGGATGGAGGAAGAAGAGGTTTAAAATCTAAACTAAAATCTTGTTCAAGTTCAATCATAGATTCATAACAGTTTGCTTGATATAAATGACTATTCAGTTTTTAAAAAAACTACTGAGGGTTAACTTGATATAAAATCACTGCAAGACATAAGGTTTTAATTTCATTTGATGGGGATATGTTTTCATGAAAGTTTTTGAGGTTTGCCGCTAATTACAAAGATATTTTAATCAGATAATCTCCAAAAGTAAGAATAGAAACTGGACCCTTACTGACTCTTACCCATTACCTCACCAGTGCTTTTGTCTTTTCTGGGATCTCATTACATGCTGTATCAGGTGTGATTTTCATTGTGTTTCATAAAAATGTTTGAATCTGAATAATTTGGGCACAGTTTGTTTCAGACCAAGATGAATTCATAACAGCCTTGTCCAATGGAAGTGCTTTCTTTTACAAGCAGCTTTACTAAGTAGTCATTTTATAGTTTAAAAAAAACCAGCATTTACTTTTTCCTCAAGTTTCCTACTTAACTTCTCTAAAAAATGTAACCCATAATATTATCCCAATAGCTAACATATTCTTGTTTTTACAATAAAACAGAATAGCTGTGATGATTACCATATAGGGCTAAAGAATTTAAAATATGAAAAAAGATAAAAAATAAAGGAAAAGTTGAAACAATTTAGTGTTTGAAACACAGTTTAGTAACAATAATTAGAATAATCAATGACTTTTTATTTTTTTGCTGAAGGTCACAGAAAACAGACCAGGTCATGAAGATTTAGAACTTTATGCAACTTCCCGGGAGCGGCGGTTTCTAACATTTGCCAGTTTAAAATCTGAAGGGCAGCTATTTATGACACCATATGATTTCATCCAGTCTGTTTCAAGTGATGAACCAAGACGTAAGTAAGAATTTTGTTAAAAACTACATTATTCTTGTTCCAGTGAACCCTCATAATTAAAGCTTCCTTATTTGATGGATGCACAGTTCAGATATTCTATATTTTTTCAGTTATGTATTTAATAAGTAGATGCTGTGATTGGTGGAATTCATAGGATATGTTGGGATATAAGGTTCTTATCTTTTAAGCTGTGGGGCTTGTACATTAGAAATTCTTAATACCCTATGTTGAAAATTAAGATTCCACTAAGTACAATGATATATCTCAAAGATAACTCAAAAAGCTGATTTCTAAGATATTATATAAAAAGGAAAGGAAGGTAACACTAGATCTCTATGGAGATTCTCAGTTATCCAGGTCATAGTTGTCACAAAAGTGCTTTTTCAAGTCTAGTTGTCTCTTGAAAAAGCACTCTTGGGCAACACAAGATATATTTTCAAAACTATCACATCTTTTCAGAAATTGCAATGCCTTTCAACAGGAAAAATTACTGTTGGCTTACCTGAACGGTCGTTCTCTGGGCGCTGTGGGAGAGTCCAAGCATGGGATAAATTCAGCCTATTCGCCCAAGAGCTGAGTTGAATTTTTAACCATGCCTCCTCTCCTCATTGAGGACCAGTTCAAAAACGAAGGTGTAGACTATGATGGACATGTTCATGATGTTTCCACCGGATGTGTCCATAATCCAATCGCTCCAAGCAACCTGAGATGACAATAGGTAAAAGAGAAATAAACCCCAGGGCAGGGTTGGACTCTCCTGCAGCGCCCAGAGAACAACCGTTCAGGTAAGCCAACGGTCATTATCCTGTGCGCTGCTTGGAGAGTCCAAGCATGGGACATACCCAAGCTATGAGGTCCCAGGGAGGGTAACTGGATCGTCCAGGGTGCGCAGAGTCGCTACAACCCTTTGCAATGCCCTTTCTTCCTTTCAAAAGATGCCTCGGCTGCAGTGTAGGAGTCAATGTGATAATGTCTAATGAACAGTGTCGGGGACGACCAGGTGGCAGCGCTCCGTGTAGAATGAGCTGTGAGTCTCGCTGGTACCGCCTTATCCTGATGCTGGTAAGTCAGCTTAATACAAGCCCTCAATCACTGGCTGATGGTGGATGGTGAAACCTTGCGTCCCATAGAACCTGGTTGAAAAGAGATGAAGAGCGATTCGGAGTGGCGAAATTCCACCGTCCTTTTGATGTAGCAGTGAACCGTTCTCTGAACGTCCAGCTTGTGCCAGGTTCCTTCCTTGGGATGCTGAGGGCAAGGACAGAAGTTGGGGAGTACCACCTCCTGAGCTGTATGAAACAGAGAGTTAATTTTCAGCAGAAAGGCCAAATCTAGTCGAAGTGTAACCCGGTCTGCATGAAAAATGCACAAGTCATTTCAAATCGAGAGAGCTGCCAACTCTGATACTCTCCTAGCTGACGTAATTGTTATGAGAAAGGCCGTCTTCAGAATCAAATGCCGAAGGCTGATGGAACGTATGGGCTCAAATGGTGTCTTGGTAAGGGCTCGCAGTACAAGTGGAAGGTCCCAGGTGGGGAACCTGTGGACTGTGGGTGGGCATAAATTGGATGCCCCTTTGAGGAAGCTTCTCACCTGAGGGTGCTGCCCTAAGGACACAGCCTGATGTCTAGCTAGAATGTTCGAGAGAGCTGCCACTTGTCATCGAAGGGTGTTGGGGGACAGCCCTTTATCCAACCCCTCCTGCAAGAAGTCCAGTAGTTGTGGGATGGATGCCGAAGCTGGCACGATGTCAAGAGTGCTACACCAGGTATCGAAAGCGGCCCAAGTAGCCTCATAGATCTGAGTCTTAGATGGACATCGGGATGCCTGGATGGTATGAATGACCTTGTCTGAAAGATTGTCTTTCCTCAGGAGGTCCCCCTCAAGTGCCAGAAGGCCAACTGGAGCTAGCTGGGATCTGGATGCACTATAGCTCCCTGGCTGACAGAGAGCAACTCCTGAGATATTCTCCATGGTTTGCGAATGGAGAGATTGACAAGGATCTCCTGGGCCAGTGAAGTGCTACTAGGAGAACTTACGCCTCCTCTGACAATATCTTCTGAACTAGCTGTGGAATGAGAGGCAGAGGCAGGAAGGCATATAGAAGGGCCGTGAGTTAGTGGCAGCAGAGGGTCTGTTCCCTCCGCTTGTGGCGTGGCATATCTCTAGAAGAACCTTGTTAGTTGAGAGTTGGCTGGACTGGTGAACAGATCGACCACCAGTAGACCGAACTTGACGGTCAGTTGGTGAAAAGTTGACGGATTAAGGTGCCATTCCAAATTGTTGATGATTGTCCTGCTCAGCCAGTCTACTCTCACATTGCTCACTCCTGAGATGTGGTCCACCCGCAATGAGGCCAGATGACATTCTGCCCACCTCCCTAGAGCTTACACTTCTGCCATCAGGCACTTGGACCTGGTGCCCCCCGGGTGCTTGATGTGGGCCTTTGTTGCCATATTGTCTGTTAGCATCAGGACATGGCGACTCACAATGTTTTTCCAAAAGTGGCGTAAGGCCAGCCTGGCTGCCCTTAACTCTAGCCAGTTTATATTGTGTGCTGCCTCATTTTGTGACCACTTGCCTTGAGTCACTTGTTCTTTAAAGTGGGTGTCCCATCTCTGGAGACTCGCATCTGTTGTGACCACCAGACGACTCGGCTCCTGGAAGAGGCATCCTTTCATCACTGCACTGGACTCCCACTATCGTAGAGACTGTTTTACCTTTGGAGGAAGTCTGACCCGTCTGGGAGAGTTGCTGGCTTTTGCCTGCTGAATGGGCAGGAGGAACCATTGTAGTTCCCTTGAGTGAAGTCATGCCCAAGGAACTATTTTTATGCATGATATCATGAGCCCCAGAAGTTGTGACAGGGACACAATGGACGCAAACTGGTTCACTCTTGCCTCCTGTCCACAGGTGATGATATTGCGCCTGCGGTCTGGTGACAGGAACACTGGGCAACAGACTGAGTCCTGGATCGAAGGTGTCAGCTGGCTCTTTTGTCGGTTCACCGAGAACCCGTGCTTCTGCAAGGTGGTGATGGTGGCTCGAACATCAACAGTTTGGTCGGTGGACGCTGACTGAATCAAGATGTCATCTAGGTAACAAAGAAGACATATTGGGCGCAAGCGCAGATGGGCCGCTACCACCGCCAGTATTTTTGTGAAAGTCCTTGGTGCCAATGATAGCCCAAATGGCAGAGCTCTGTACTGGTAATGCCTGCCGTTGTAGTGGAACCTGAGGAACTTCCTGTGGGACATGCAGATTGGGATATGCAGGTACCCTTCCTTCAGGTCGATGGAAGTCAACCTGTCCCCTCGCCTGATGCAACCTAGGATGGTTTGTAAGGCTTGCATCTTGAAACGCTTGTAGGCCAGATGTCGATTTAGGTTTTTGAGGTCCAAGATGGCCCTTCACCTCCTGGAGCTTTTTGAGACAAGGAAAAGGATGGAGTAAAACCCCTTTTTCTCTTGCTCTACGGGAACTGGTTCTATAGTGTTTATCTGTAGGAGATGCAAGATCTCCGCCTGCATGCATTGCCCTTTGGGACAGGAGGAGGGAACTGGGCAGCAGACAAAGGTCCGCGGGGGAAGGGAGAGGAACTCCAGGGTCAGGCCCTGCCTGGTCGTGTTGAGGACCCAAGAGTCCATTGTGATCAACTCCCATTGAGCTGGAGATGGCCACCTATGGGAGGATCCCATTGGTGGTCACTTTGTCCTGCGGTAGGAGCAGTTGTTGGAACCACCACAAAAAGGGCATCAAAAGGACTGTTGTTGTCGCCCCTTGTCCCTGAAAGATGACATATTCTGGCCACGGTCACTGCCCTGGGGGTAGGATCTCTGGTAGGAGGGACCCGTACCCGAGGGACCCGTACCCGAAAGGATTGTTTTTGAAAGGAAGAGTTAGCTTTTCTATCTGCTTTCCTGGCAGTAGACGGAAGAACCTTCTGCTTGTCCTTGGTTTTGATCAAGAACTTATTCAGTGTCTCTCCAAACAACTGGCTGCCCTAGAAAGGGGCGAACGCAAGCTTCCACTTTGACTTCACGTCTGCCTGCCAGTGGCAAAGACACAACAGATGGCACGAAGTAATGTTGGAGGCCAGTGCCCGGGAGGCAAATTTTGCAGCATTGAGGGAAGCATCAGCTGAATATTCAACAACTGCTATGATTTTGTTAAGGTCATGCTTCCACCTGGATCCCTCTGAGGAAGGATTCGATCTCAACTGCCTCAGCCAAAGCAGAGAGGCCCAAGTAAAGAATGAAGCTGACGTGGAAGCTTTGACAGACCAGGCAGTCACCTGGTGCGTCTTGTGGCAGGCTTTCTCTGCCCTCTTGTCCTCAGCCTTGAGAAGGTCAGCCGGCAGGACAGAGTTGGAAGTGAGAGATATCACCGGAGCATCCACCTGTGGAAGCTTCAGTATATCCTCCAAATTGTTCTCAACTGAATAGAGATGTTTGTCAGCACCACTAGGGTTGGATAGTGAACATGGTTGCTGCTGCTGAACCACGTTCACAAACAGCTCTGGCACCGGACCAGGTCCTGCGCAGGAGCATTCTCTTTAAATAGCCCTTCCTTGGGATCCTGGGTCCCAGAGGGTTCAGCCATACCCTGGCTGGGAGTGCCTTCTTGGGTAGAGGCCTTCGCCTTGTGCAAAATTGCCTTAAAGAGAGAAGGCCTGAACCACCCAGTGAAAGCAGGTTTATCCGGGATGGGAGTTTCATCCAAAGCTCCTTTTCGCCTATGTTGTCCTCCTCTAATATGGATTCCTCCGTGGCAATGGAAGTGCCAGGGGAAGGAGGCTTCTGCCCACTCTGAGTAGATTTGAGACTAGGTTTAGCAGTGGAATTTTTTTTAAGCCTGAAGCTTCCTAGAGAGGCCAGAAGCAATGCCTCCCTCAATAGCATTCTCGATCACCATCTGCATTTCAGTGGACAAATTCGGTCCCTGGTCCTCAGCAGGCGGGGCCTGATTGACCTTCTCCTGCCTGTGAGACCTGAGGGCTCAGGGTCCTCCTCAATCATGTCAGCCTCAAAGGGACAAAATTCCTCTTGCATAGAGAAAGATTCTGGGTAGCCCAGAGTGGCTGCAGGGGAGGGAGCCTGGGATCCTTCCTCAATTAATGAAGGAGAAATGGCCCTTTCTGGTGAAGGCTGGGAGGGATGATCCTGCCTTTGGGGTAAGGGGTTTGGATCCCGAGTGTGCTGCCCAGATAATAAGGATAATCTCCTGACCCTCTCAAAGGTCTTTTCTAGGGCTTTATGCCTGCGGGCCTCAGCTTTAGATATGGCTTTGCCACTCCTGGGGTTAAGAATCCCTTTCCCCTTGGTGCCCTTCCTGCCTTCCACCTTCTCAGGGGCATCTGGCCTACTATGTTTGGGCGAGAAGACTGGATGTTCCTCTGGCGCCCTCTTGTCTCCATCTGCCATGGCGTTCTTCTGCTGGAACAAATCTGACGTGGATGGCCCTTTAGGGAAACTTCGTAGGCAGCAGGCAGGCACCGGCGCTAAGCAGGGAGTAGTGGTGCGCTCTGCAGATCTGTCCGTGGGACAGGAGTATGACCGAATGGCCAAAACTCTCCTAGGCTGCCATATGAGTGTTTTCTGAGAGAGGAGGCCTTGCCGGAGACTAATAACTTCCGCGTGGCAATCTGCAAGCTGGGAGGAAAGTGCGACAAATCTAAATGGCCCGGAGCGAAAAGCGTGTGAAAAACGCTTTTAAAATGGCCCCCACACTTCTCTGACGCTCAGGGAGCTGTCAGGCATAAGCCGGAGCCTCTGATAAGGACTCCAGCAGCCGCGATGAGATAAGAGACAGCTGGGGGAAAAAGAAGCCTCCTACCTTCCCCACATTCGCCAGTAGCTACTGGACAAACGCCCCGATAAGCGCAAGCTCCATCAGCAACGGGCGCTGGAATCTCAAGCCTCACCAGCAATTTCAAACTGAAGCAAAGGTGAAGAAATTCCCTGGACCTAATTATAAACAAAATACAAAAATAAGAAAGGTCCTATGCTAGCTAATGGAGAGTCCAAGTCTATTCGCACAAGTGCTGAGGAGCTCCCCAATAACGAGTCCAAATTGGGCGGGACCAAGTTTTTGAACTCGTCCTCAATGAGGAGAGGAGGCGTGGTTAAAAATTCAACTCAGTTCTTGGGCGAATAGACTGAATTTAACCCATGCTTGGACTCTCCAAGCAGTGCACAAGAGAACAAATATAGCTCTGGAGTGTTGTAGACTCAGTCAGCAGCACAAACTTGGGAATTGATGCAGTTGACTGCAGATAGGTATTACATTTGTGTTCACATGTAATTTAAATTTATTTAGAAATGGAATCAATAGTGTTCCATTGCTTTAATAAAGACAATTGTGGCAAGTTAAAAATTTCAAATGTTTATTAACATAAACTCTGAACAAGACCAACTTGGTCATTTTTCTACATAGATAAAGAAAAAGAATAAAGTCAAGAATAAATAGGCTACTGTACCTTGATCTGGGAGCCAAAATATCTGAAAAACTGCCTTTTGTGTATATTTTCTTATATCACTGTTGAAATTAGGGAAGCAGTAATAGCAGCAAAATCAACAGGAAGTGAAGAGCAGCAGTCTAAATCCAAGACTGCAATGATTAGTTGAAATTACAGGTAGCCCTTATTTAGCAACCACCTTTTAGTAACATTCACAATCACGGCAGTAATGAAAAAGTAACTTTGTGACAAATCCTGACATAGAGTCATGGTTTCATTTAGTGACTGCTTCTCCCTATAATGACCATGTTATCAGCCCCAGTTGTGGTTGCTGAATGAAGGCTACTTTCCGAGCTTAGGACTCATTCTTGAGCCCATTCTCGGGAACTTCTCTCTACTGATCCAGATTTGATCCTGGAACATTATCCTGGGATATGTATATTTGCCTTCATTTAGAAGGTTACCTATATGGAGTTTAAAGTCCTAGGGGAGGTACTAATTAATTTTTAAACAACTTAGGGGCCCAAATGTAAGATTTAATTAACTCTAATCAATATAGCTTTAACTTAAGGGCATATTCTTATTTTTAAGGCTAATCATATTAACATTTATAAAAAATTATTAACTAATGAAGGCAAATATATGTGCCCCAGGATCCAGTCTGGGTCAGTCCAATCTAATTTACTACCAGCTTATCAAGTACTTAGGAGGCGAAAGCTTGGCAGCACAAACAAACAACAGCCAACAACTTAATAGCCAGCCAGCAACAACCCAATCAACATGTAAAAACCCGCATACAACAGCTACCATATAAATACCACACACAGAAACCTCAAGTATGCACTCTGCTAGAGAAAAGTTCCCTAAAGATGGGCTCCAGCACGAGTCCAAAAGCTAAGAAGACAAAACTTCTGGTCCTTGTGATCAATCCAGATTGGATCCTGCAAAATATATTTAAATTATTATAGTCAGTGCAAATTTAAGAATGAAAAGATAATCCAGTTAAAGTCAGGCTAACTATTTTTAAAATATCTATATTTTAAACTTACAGTTACTGTATCATGGAATTCAGATTGGTACAATTACCAACAAAAATATTGAGGTCTTCTAAAATTGCACATCCAGTTTGACAAAGTAAAACTTTACATGGCCTGAATCCTAGAAGAATTGTTCAGGCATTACGTTTAGTCTATCCTTTGTTGTTCCCTTTTATATAATCTTATATGATTTAATCTACTAGTTACTAGCCCAGAGATATCTTTATATTTATGTTCAGGTTGTTAACCTATCATTAAATTATTTGGACCTAACTTTATGATCTATAGCAGTGATGGTGAACCTTTTTCGCCTAGGGCACATGTGTGTGCCCACCCCCATAATTTAATGTCTCCCATTCCGTGCCCCATGTGCATGTGTGTGTGATCCCCCTGCTGCCTTGCGCATGCACGCACGGCTTTCTTGGAGCCTGGGGAAGGCAAAAACAGCCTCCCGAGGCCGTCCGGAGGTCAGAAACGGCCCATTTCCCGACTTCAAGTAGGCCTGGTAAGTCCGTTTCTCACCCTCCCCAGGCTCCAGAGGCTTTCTAGGAGGGGAAAGCCTGGGGAGGAGGAAAAAAACAGCCCAACATGCAAACCGGAAGTTTGGGAACGGATTTCTGGGTTGCCTGTTGGGCTGTTTTTTTTCCCTCTAGAGGCTTCAGGAAGTTTCCCTGAAGCCTCCGGAGGGCAAAAAACGGCAAAAAAATCAAGGCACTGATAGAGCAACACCTTGCATGCCCTCAGAAATGGCTCCATGTGCCACCTGCGGCACACATGCCATAAGTTCCCCATCATGGATCTATAGAAATACATGAAATATATATTTATTTATTTGTTTATTTGTTTATTTATTTATTTATTTAATAAATTTATTGGCCGTTCATCTTGCCTCAGGGTAACTCTGAAATATGAATTTTGCTGTAAGGGTGCACTGAAAGCTAAAATCTTTTTGTTTTAGATTATATAGCTAGCAATTTTAATTATAAATATTTAATTCTAAATACAACTTTAAGAAAAAGTAAACTATTTCACATTATAATAACAATTTTCTATAATACATACTTATGTATTTCATCCCAATATTCTACAAGCATTCCAACAAAATTAGTTGTTCGTTCAATATCATTTTCCTCTTTTTTCTCTCTTTTGTTTTCATAGCTCGTCCATTTCAATTAATTTAGTTTATGTCAGCTACTAATCCCATTTTGTTACAGCAGCTCTATTTTTGATATGGTTACTTTTTTAATGGATTTGTATTTTTAAGATTTTTTTATAAACAGTGTATTATTAATTATTCAGATTTATTTTGAAAGTATTACATTAAATATTATCATTAATAATAGTGAATCTATCAGGCAAATACAGGCTGCCAGGGAATGTCATGGCTAGCACCTAGACTGGAAGGTCATAGAGCACCTTGGAATAAAATAATAGCAAACTAATTCATCATTACTGTAAAGAAAATTGCATGGACATGTCCATAAAATTTTACATTTTTAGTGGAAAAGTTTCACAATTTTTCCTTCTCAAATTTTACTATTTTTGAATTACATCTTAGTTTTAATATTAATTCACCATATATGATATTCCCATATCAGTAAGATCATAATAATGAACAGTTTTAAAATGTGCTTCTAAAAACATTGAGACTAGAAAGATTATTTCCTGATTTGACAAGAGATAGGATGAACATTGATTATGCAAGCCATATATAATAGCATGTTTTTAAATACTTGTTTAATTGGCTTTGTATTTGTTTTAGAGACAAAACAGTGGAAGACACTATCAAAACAGGTACGTTACAATTCTTTTCCAAATTAGATTTTATACATTGACTCAAGCAATAGTAGCATTAGGCAAACTGTTCATTCTCAATTTCATGTATGGAAATAATAATATTGGTCTACAAGTATGCGAGGTCTTATTTATTTATATATTAATTTTTTATGCTACCCATCTCCCCTGTAAAGTAACTCTTGGTGTCTTACTTTGCATATTTTATAATTTAATCTGCATTTTTATTAGAAATCTGCATTTTATGTTTTCAACCTAAACATTCAAATTCCATGGGACCTGAACGTTTCTCTGACTGTACAATGCTGGGTTGTCTAGAAATATGTTAGTGGGTATAGCTTTGCAAATGCACTGAGTGTTTATTATGAAGACAATGTCATCATCTCTTTTAAAAAACTAATTTGCAGGAATTGAATCAGATACTTATTGAAACTCCACCAGTTTGGAAAGGATCATCAAAGCTCTTCAGGAATCTCCAAGAAAGGGGTACTGAAGAATATTTGCTTTGTAGAATATTTGCTTTGTTTTTGCTTTATTTTTACTATGAAATTCTTTTGATTCTCGACTAGAGATGATAGTGTTCCAGTACTGCTAGTAGTATGCTGTTAATTTGAATTTAATATAAAATTCATATGTCCATCTGTATCTTTTTTGAAAGAAAATGCAGTCAAAAATATTTGAGTTTGCGTTGGCATTTTGTTTTTTCAGCATCAATATGGGCAATATTTAAAAATTGTACATATGGTTAGCTGACAACTGCAATTCAGACCAGATTTCCGATTGTGCGTTGCTACAGCAATAAGTCAAGGCACCCACATGACTGGATCCAATTTTTTTAACCCTTTTTGTGCTCGCCATCACTGTGGTCACTAAGCAAACACCACGTTTGTAAGGACACACACAATCATTTAAACTGGCCATAGTCAAGATGACCAAGAATACTGCAATCAGTCATACAGTGGATCCAGTTGCCAAGTTCCCAAAATGCACTCACATAACAGGGTGGTGGTGACTGGGCTTTAACTAGTTGTGGGAATAAAATTAGAAGAACCTTGTTAGCCCCCATTAATTCCTTGGAGCAAGCATAGAATGATGTGCAAATAAATAATTTTACTATATCTTCAATCATGATTTGCTAATATTTAAGTAAAAATGATGCTAATTTATTGATTTGCTTTTTCAGGTATAATTTCTTACACGGAATATCTCTTTTTACTATGTATCTTAACAAGTAAGCATTCAGAGTAAAATGTATTTTCCACAGATGCATGTATGAATGGGTGTGATGTTAATGTTGTATGTGTTAATAAATAATTTGTAAGTAATTTGTTTTTGCAGTCTCCTAGTAAAATGTTACTAAAAATAATTGAAGACACAAGTACAATTTCTTTAGATAATGTAGGATATAGTTTAGCAGCTGTTCTGATAAAGTTATATCCTTTATTCGGCTGAAAAACACTGGCATAGCAATTACTATAGTGGAAATGTTGAAAACTCCCTATTATTGATAACAAACAGTAACAAATAAAATTCAACTTTTACTTCTCAATTTTAAATTGCTGGCCGTGATACTTGTGAAACAATTACCTGATCATACTTAGAAAGTATGTATGGGATTGTTTGGTTTAAAATTTTCCTTATTCAAAAGGCTTTATATGGAAAATCAATTTACTCCCCAATTTTGGATAAAATCATCAACATCTCAGAATGGAAAGGAACTTCTCTCTTAATTCCCAGCTTCTGGTGTCTTGTGGTAAGACAACAACCCAAAACTTATTTAAATAGCTAACTAGCTGTGCAGCACAGTTAGTACTTAGAAAAGCTGGTTAATTTTTCCTTTACTTTGACAGCAACCTCAGGGTGGATAAAATCTGTAAAGTATTATCTTGAAAAGAAATCAGAAGACTGATAGAGATTGGGAACAGAAGCAACATATACATGATACTAATTGGCAATGGGGACAGCAAACGTCACACTGATACTGTACAGTTTTTTCCAACTCAAAAAAGTGACCTCTTTAACTCAACAGTAGAACTTTATTAAATGTAAAGTGGTTTAGCATTTTTTCCACATGTGAGATTTATGCTATACCTAAATCTTTGCTGTAACTATGTAGCCCACATCTAAAATGATATTTCATGGACTCTATACCTTCTGGCATTCATATCATTGTACTGTTTCATAAAAGGCATGGAATATCAGTACATTTTGAAATATTGAACAATTCCACAAATTTAATTCTCTTTTGAAGAAAGATAAGACTCTTGTAGTATAGAAACAAAGGAGAAATGAGTATTGGAGGTTGATAATAACATTTGGAGGACCAGAAATATGGGGGGAAAGCATTCTGCTGGTATAATAATAGATTTATGGAAAGGCTATTAGCGTTCTGCTGTCATTTAAAGTGGATCAAGTTCTCTACAGTGTGTTTGACCAAACAGGACCAAATTATGTGTAATAATAACGATTTTATAGTTGAAATACTGCATGTTCCTGTAAAAAGGCAAAATGGGGCTGGCAGATTGATTTTATATGATATGAACCCTTTCTCACTTCAATACACAGGTCAACATTTTTCATACAGCTGAAAAAACATTTAATAACAGGTTTGCTGAAAAAGTGGTGTGGAGAAAAGTTAAGTATAGGTACAGAAATAGCACCCTTTTTGCTAGTAATCTTAAGTACCGTATTTTTCAGAGTATAAAATGCACTAGAGTATAAGACTCACCAAGGTTTTGAAGAGGCAATTTTTTTAAAAAAAGTTTTTGCACTCTGCAGACCTCCCAAAAATGGCCCGGTTTTTTTGCAAAAATGCACCCCCCCCCCCAAAAGGCATGAATAGCCTTTTAGGGGGCTTGCAGAGTGCTCCGGGAGGGGGGGGGACGAACAAAAAACAACCTGGTTTTCACAAAAACGGGCCCATTTTTTGTCAAAACAATTGCATGCATAGCCTTTAGGAGGCTTAAAGAGTACTCCTTGGGGCTGGGGGGGGAGCAAAATTGAGCAAAAAATTGCCTGTTTTTTACTCATTTCTGCCTTCCCCAGTACCCCGGGAGCTCACTGAAAGCCTTCTACAGGCTCTGCACAGCCATTTTGGTGAAGTGCTGGGTTTCGGGAGGCAAAAAATGCTTTATTTAGTGTATAAGATGCACCCAGATTTTCAGCCTCTTTTTTGAGGGAAAAGGGTGTGTCTTATACTCCAAAAAATACAGTAAGTCACCCCATTTTCCCTTATGATTTGGGGAATGTTGTATTCATATATGAATAGCTGCCAGTGTAGCATACAACTTGGCCTTTAGTTTCAGTAAAATTCTTCAAATATTTCTTTTCTCTTAACATCTTTTTTATCATTCTTGACAGAACCGCATGCTGGTTTTAGAATAGCATTCAACATGTTTGATACAGATGGAAATGAAATGGTGGACAAAAAAGAGTTCTTGGTGGTAGGTATGGTTACTTTTAAAATTTGTTACTTTCTTTTTTCAAATGTTTTAAATATGTTTTTTAAATTTTTAAAATCTTTTCAAAGGCGAAATTATTTTTGGTAAATGAATGTTACTCAAATTCAAATCCTAAAGGAAAAAAGATCTCCCACTTAATATCTATCTTAACAATTTATTCCCCCATACCTTTATGTTGTATAGGGTTTTTTTATTCTTTGGTTCTTCATTTGAATCTGTTCTACTTGGCTAATACGACTTCTTCATATGATGATGTTGTTGATGACGTTACGGTCAGTCGTTTCTTGGTGATTCTGACATTTTGGGCACTTGTTTCAGAGTTCCTTAGATAATGGCATAAAAGCCCTTTATTTCAAGCTCTGTTGCAGCAATCATTTGGGTATAGATTTGGACACTGTGATTCTGAGGGCTTGAGGTAAATTCTGATGGTCATAATTTGGTCACTGATGGTTGAGAGCAGGGGTTGGTTCCTGCCGGTCCTTGCCGGTCCTTGCGGACCTTTTGGTCGGTGAACCCAGAAGTAATTAACTTCCGGGAACGCCCCCTCTAAGGTGCAGCTAGAACTGGCCACGCGCAAAAGACCTCCCCAGACTTGTTTTGTTGAGCACTGGGCGACTGATGGTAGTTTGCGCCGGCCGCAGCCGCTCAAACTAGCGCCAGCCACCCCCTTTTCAGCAAAGCAAGCCCAGGGAAGTCCTTTGTGGGCAGCCAGTCCTAGCCGCTTGCGCCCAGCGCTGTGGCTGAGATCAAGCCCCAAAGCCCCCGCCACCACCAGAATATCTGCTGCCGCCTCCTCCTCCTCCAACAGCACTGCTGGATTTGCCGCCCAATGCTGCGGCTGAGGTGAAGCCACCAAAGATCCCGTCGGCACCCCTGCCCGTGGCAACGACGCCTCCCCCTCCGCTCGGAGCACCTGAGCTGGGCCCCGCATTATCCCTCCCCCCCTCCTCCTCCGCCATGCTTTTGAGGAGCCATGAGGCCGCAGGACCCAAAAGGAAGGTGGCAGAGGGGACAGGAGCAAGAAAAAAAGGCCTCATGGCTTCTTAAAAGCACGGCGGAGGAGGAGGCAGTGGCAGCAGAGGTAACACGGGGCCCAGCTCAGGTGCTCCAAGAGGAGGGGAAAGTGTTGCTGCCACAGGTGGGGGTGCTGGCGGGAGGTTTGCTGGCTTCACCTTAGCCGCAGCATCGGGCAGCAAATCCAGCAGTTCTGTTGGAGGAGGAGGAGGCGGCAGCAGACATTCCGGTGGCAGCGGGGGCTTTGGGGCTTCACCTCAGCCATAGCGTCAGGTGGCAAATCCGGCAGTGCTGTTGGAGGAGGAGGCAGCAGATATTCCGGTGGCGGCGGGGGTTTTGGGGGTTTACTTCAACTGCAGCGCCGGGTGCAAGTGGCTAGGATTGGCCGCCCACAAAGGGGGCTTACCAAGTTTGCCCATCTTCTCCAAGAAGCAACTTTCTCTCTTTCTTTATCCCCTACGTTACTTCTTTTTCAGTTTGTACATGTTCCTGGGTGGTGTCTTTTGGCCCACTTCTACTTAAGGAGAAGTCCTCCCTAGGAAAATGATTGCACCTGACATACTATCTCTTCTTAGTTGGTAGTAATATATAGAAAAGCCCTTTCTCTACTTTTGTCTTGTTATTTTCATTCCCCTTGATAGGCCCCATTTTTCCACTGTTTTTCATTTGACTCATGGCAGCTGTTGACTTCTTTAAAGACAATGGGGCCTAATAATGAAAAATGTTTCTTTCTTAAAAGAAAAAAGCAAAAAAAACAGAATTTCATGACAGGGGATAAGAGAAAGGGTCCTTGGATATGATTATTCTACACTATCATGCTCATATTTATAAAACTCAGTGCCTCTGTGAAAGGTAAGGATGACTACTGCGTTTGTGGTGCAATCAGAACATTGCGTGTGTTGAAGTTGTTTTAACACAAACCAAAGGTGCCTTTTAAAAAACAAATTTACATCATATTCTTATGAATGCCAGTGCTGTGTGTGAGGCAATTTAAGGTGGTTCTGACAAGTGTCGTCGGCATCTTCAGTGGCAGCCCTGCCCCCTGTGAAAAAACCGAAGATGGAGCAGATCCACGCAGATGATGACTGGAGGAGGAATTCTGGGAGTTGAAGCCCACAAGCCTTAAAGCTGTCAGGTTTGAAGACCCCTGTTTTTTTTTTCCTAAAGAGTTAGGGGTGCAAGGATCTTGTAACTTGACAGCTTTAAGACTTGCATGCTTCAGTGCCAGAGTTTCTGAATAGCTACTTGGACCGACCTAAGTACTAATTCATAATTTCATATCTGGTCACATGGGTGGCAAGCCACTCCCATCCGGTCACATGGGTGGCAAGCCACTCCCACAAAGGAGGCCACACCCACAGAGTGGGTTCCAACAATTTTTGAAACCCACCACTGGTTGAGAGGCTTTCCACTGCTCCAGCAAATTTCTTGCTTACAATAAATGCCACTTCATTTGTTTTCCTATCATGTCCCGAATAATAGTGAAATCCTCAAACTGGAAAAAGCCATTGTATGACCAGTGTAGCTTCAAGGAGGTCAATTTCCAGGTTCCACCACAAAACCGCGGTCGACTAAAGCGCGCTCGACGAAACCGCGTACCTGACGTCATCACAGCGCGACGAAAAAAGCACGCTGTGAGTGGTAAAGCTAAAAATAACGCGTAAACCTAAACCTAACCCCCCTAACCCTAAACCTAACCCTAAACCTAACCCTTAACCTAACCCTAAACCTAACCCTAAACCTAACCCTTAACCTAACGCTAACCCTTAACCTAACCCTAACGCTTAACGTAACCCTAAACCTAACCCTAACCCTTAACCTAAACCTAAACCTAACCCTTACCTTTACGTGAATCGGCTTGCTTTAAAAGCGCTTTTTAAAGCACCCTTTTTTCTCCGCGGTCGTTGTCACGCTGCTGATGACGTCAGCGACACGCTTTAATCGGGCGCGCTTTAGTGGACCGTGGTTTTGTCGTGCCATGCAATTTCCAACCTAATCATCTCTTGTTTGACAATATCTAATTTACCCTCTCATTCCTCTGGGATTCCATGTGATTTTCTGATGTATCTCTATAAAGCGCAGACATTCTTTTCCGCCAATAGCTGCCTCAGCAACTGGGATTCCTGTTATCCTACCGTTAGGCACCCTATTTGATATATTTTAAAAAAATTCGATAGAGTTTTCTATGGTGAGTTTTTTGTGGAATAGGTGGCCAGCTCTTTCTCCAAGCCTGTAACTCACTATTTGATAGCTGCCCAAGGACAGCAACTGCTGCAGTCCTTGTTAACCCGGATGACAGCTTTTTCTTTTTGTTGACTCATCATGGTTAGTGTGGTTACTCTTAATCTGACTCCTTCATTGAGACCTGTCTGGCTTGGGTGACTGTTCAGGTATACTTCCTGGTCGTATACCTCTAGCATAGTTGTCAACATTACAGAACACACAAGCCCCTCTCCCAAAGGGGAATTTCACATGGAGGGGCTTCATGATAAAAAGTGATTACTTAAGAAACATACGGGGTGGTTGTCTAATATCCCTATGTGATTGTGAAGCCTAAATGGAAAAAAAGGTATGGGAGAAGAGGAAGGTGAACTGAAGAAGAAAGTTGAGAAAGTAAGTAAAATAAGAGATATAGGAGGAGTTTGTAGAGCTTTTAATGCATATCACTCTTCCTTCTTCATGCATTTTTCAAAGGTCAGTGAAATTTCATAAGTATCAATTCATACATTTCCCTTATTTCACAGGGTTATTTTTTTTTTAATTGTCTTTAGAAGCCATCAGTTTGAAAGCACCCAGAGTGGTATGGTAAGAAAGTAGAGGATAAAAATGTATACAAATTTCCTCTCCAGTTAATAGACTGAGTAACTGGAATAAGTCTGAGGTTGAACTGGCATTTTGAAGGTATGAAATGATAGATATCTGATTTGCAAATATGAAGCATAGGCATTTTGTAAATCACTACTGAGAAGGAGGAATATTATGATGCACTTTCATCTAAATAAGAATGTTTGCGGTTCATATTTAAAAGAGCGGATATGAAAGGAGTGTAAATTGTGACCAACATTATAGAACAGGGGCTTTAAAAAAACTCCCACAAAAATATTTAATATAAACCAAAGACTTTTCCAGTACCTGCTATTTTGCTATTAATCATCAAATGCTTAACAGATTTTTGTCTTTTTTTAAAAAACTGTTTGTTTATGTCATAGGTCTGAGGTCAGAGAACAGAGGGATTTTGTTCCCTTGATACAAGAGATGTTGTTTTGTCCTTCAGCTTTCAACAGTCAATCCCATTATTTTGTTTCAGACAATGTTCCTATGAAAAGTGCTCCTAGATTAATTCATGTTCACTGCTGAATTCTTTGGTATCCTGTAGCATTTCTTCTACACAAAAGGTTCATTTCCAGAAGATCAAATGAGCTTTGCTGATGAATGCAACAAGATCTTCTTCCCTGTATCTGATGTAAGGAAATCAAAGCATGGAAGATTTTTTTTTTAAAAAAAGGTCTTTTTGCCTTTTCAATTACCAACACTCTTTTTACCTTTTTTAAAAAAAAAAATCTTCCATGCTTTGATTTCCTTACATCAGATACAGGGAAGAAGATCTTGTTGCATTCATCAGCAAAGCTCATTTGATCTTCTGGAAATGAACCTTTTGTGTAGAAGAAATGCTACAGGATACCAAAGAATTCAGCAGTGAACATG